ATTATTTTTATTGTAGAAAAAAAAAAAATTTCATTAGACATTTTTTTTGATTGAAAAAGGTATAAAGTTTAAGTTTGAAAAAAACTTTTTTTTTGTTATTTTTAAGAAGTTGTATTTGGATTTGAAGAATCATGATTATCCCAAAGCAAATCTGAATCGTAAAACAATACTCTTCTAGAATCTGAATTTTCTTCTTCCATTGATGTTTCTTGTTCTTCTTGAGGATTCTTTTGCATAACTGCAATATCTCGTAGCAATGATTTTGCTTCTTCTTTTGTCTGTTGAAAAAAAAAAAAAACACCGTGAGTATAACTTAAGGAAAAGAAGTAATAATAATTTTTGATGCATTGCATAAAATTTCAAAATTGGGAAAAAATCTGTTAATATTTTCATAACTTACTTCTTCGTACAAAAGACATTTTTGAGCATACTGATAGGCATCTTGTAATTCTTGATATCTTAAGCAATGAATTGCCAAAAATTTATAAGCCCTGCATAATTCTCCTTTGTCACAAGTTTCTCTTGTTTCACAATCAGCTACATACTCTTTATACAATCCCGCAGCAACATCTGCTATTCCTAATTTTTGCATTAATCTTAAAAAAAAAAAAGAAAACAAATTTATAAGCGTTGTTTTAAATAAAAACAACTTAAAAAAAAAAAAAAAAAGGTAAAAAATTTGCCTACTTAGCTAACTTTATCAAGGCAGTTCCTTCAATGTCTCCTACATTTCTAGCCAATTTATAACTTCTAATAGCATTTTCATTTTGTCCTAATTTTTCAAATATTTCCCCTACAGCAAGTAACATTCTAGAATCATTAGGTTGCAAAAGCTGAGCTTGCTGATAATAATATAAACAATATGATGGCATTCTTAAAATTTCATAGGTTTGACCCAAACCATACCATGCTCTATAATCTCGTCTGTTAGCTTCAATGGCTTGTCTGTAGCTTTGAATAGCAGCACTAGAATTCTTCATTTCCATATATTCATGTCCCATGAGTGTCCATGCACATAAATATTGAGGATTAATTTTAAGAGCTCTTTGAAAATATACAACAGCTTTTTGATGTTCTGCCCTCAAACTGTATAAATTTCCAACAATACAACAAGTTTCAACTCTGTATTTGTCTATTTCACAAGCTCTGTGAGCTAAATGTGATAATAAGGCTTTTTTCTCTTTAATATATAATAAATTAGAGTATATATCTAAATTATCTAATCTATAAGGGTCTGCAGCTTGCAGTGCAGAAAACTCTGCTATAGCTTTTTCTACAATTCTATGATTATGATAACATATAGCTAATTGAGCTTGTATATATCTACTTTCTTGCAAACCTTTTTCTCGAAGAGACCAATACAACTGAATGGCAGCCTGATTCATCTGATGATCTAAGTATAAGTGACCTAAAAAAAAGTACTTCATCCAATGAGAATGTGGTATATTAAGTGTTTTGACTATTCTGACATCATCAATTAATCCAGTTAATTCCTTCCATGCTCCCCAATTTAAAGGTTCTTTTCTTATCGCTTCACAAAGTGCATCAATCGCTTCATCTTGAAGGTTTAATCGCTTACACAGAATCCCATATAAATAACAACAAAAACCATCCAAATTATTTTTCGTTCTCTCTTTAGCCAATTCATTTTGCAATGAATTTATTACAGCTGTTTGAGATGAATCTAAAAGGCAAGTTTGCTCGGTCATGTCTTCTACTCTTTTTTTTTCAAAGGCCATATATCTTGAGTAATAATGTAAGAATTTTGCACAAGGGCTTTCACATTTTTCTGTAAAGTAGGCACATCTGTCATATTCCTTTAAATCAAAGTAGCATTTACACATGAAATAACATTCTTTTTCATTTTCACTTGTTTCAGATATGATACTAGAGTCGTCATTATCACATTTTACATCTTTCAAAGTAAAATTTAATTCCGACAACCTAAAATAAAAAGTTTCAGTATAAAAATTATACAAAAATTTAAAAAAAAAAAAAAAAAATAGGGAAACACCTAAATTAAAAAATAAGAAAAATAATTTAACTAAATTTTTTAATCTGTAAACAAATGGTAATTAAAATTTCTTAAAATGATATCTTATATTTTGATTAAAAAAATCGGTAATTTTGAATTACCATTTGGCGGTATGAATTAATCCTCTATTTAAGCATTTTAAAATTGCTGATTCCAAGTCTTTTTTGAATATTTTTTTCCATTCTTCCTCATCAAGCTGCTTATTGTTTTGATCAAACATGATATATTTAAAGTTGTCAAATTTTTTTTATTAAAAATAATTTCTTTAATTTTTAACCTGTGTGTTTACCGTGGAAGTAATATAAATTCCTTTCCGCAATGGCGTACAAGTGTTGATAACTTTTCGGTTTAGTTTTTAATTCGTCTCATCGGAAATGAACGAGGTTGGATATTATTTCTATGACATATTAAAAATTTATTTTGTTAAATAATATTTATCGGTGTTTTAATTTATGATTTTTTTAAGTTCAGGAACTGACAGTAATTAAAAAAAAAATCGACGGATGTTTGAAATTAAAAAAATACGAAGAAGCAGTGTTGCATTTAAGTCATGCTATCAAATTGGAACCTCATAATCATGTACTTTATAGTAATAGATCCTTTGTTTTTCTTGAAATGGAACAATATTACTTAGCATTAGAAGATGCCAACAAAGCAATAACGTTAAATCCAAAATGGGCTAAAGGGTATTTTCGCAAAGCCGAGGTTTTTGTATTGCTAAAATAAATTCTGTTTTTATTTGATGATAGTTTTTTTAAAAAAAAAATACATTTACTTTTTTCAGATAGAATTTCAGACATTCAATTATAATGATGCGTTGCGGTCTTATAAAATAGCATTGGCTTTTCAACCAAATGATCCATGTTTAGAAGAAGCCATACATAAAACTAAAGTTGCTTTAAAAAAAGAAAAAGGATCAGAAGAACAAATTCCTTGGATAGGTGCAGCATTGGGTATTATTGCTGGTGCAACAATTATTATTTCCAGTCAAATATTCACCAACATTCCAGTGTCAAGAGTAAGTATTAAGAATATATAAAAATTAATTTTAATGAATATTGTAAATCTAATAATACAATTTTTGCTTTTATTTAGAATCCAATGCTCATGGTTTTAGTAATTATAGGAATAGCAGTGATTGGTTACTGTTTAGGAAAAGCTTTTAGAAGCCACATGA